TTTGTTGTTGTTTTTAAAGTAGACAAGAAAAAAAAACTTAGGTTGAAAATTTGAAGACAACACTAAACAATTGATATTAAATGGCAGCAAGAAAACCTGTTTTTGTCTTCCCCAAAAAAAAACTGATGCTTAATTCTCTGGACAAAAAAAAAAAAACATTGAACACGAGGAAGGAAAAAGAATAGAAAGAGGCTAATATTACAGATAAATGAAAAAAGCCTAAAAGATGACGGGGAAATGAAAAAAAATTTATTCAACTTTTGTTTGGTTAACTGAATCTGATTATTGTTGTTAATCGTTAAGACAGTTATTTTTGCTTTTTTTTTTGCATCTTTGTTCTTTTATATTTTTCTTTTCACATAGTTGTCAGTTCAGTTAAAAAAATCTTTTTTTTTTTCTTTACATTTATTGAAATAAAAAGGAAAACAGCGGAAGAATAAAGTGGGAAAGGAGAAGAAATGGAAGAAATTTTGTCTTTTTCTTTTTCTTTTTTGTTCTGCTTTGCTTCACTATTCAGGGGGGACTGTAAAATGAAAAATTAAAACTTGACTTAAACTATTTGTATTTGTACTGAAGAATATTGGTGAAAAAAAAAAGAAAAAGAAGGAAACAAGGCAATTTTTTTTCTCTTTATACCTAGTTTAAAAGCAAGACGCATCAGATGTATTTAGCGTTAAGTAGGTTAGTGCAAATTGAGGAAATATGGAGGAGAACAGCAGTTTTTTTTTCCCTTTGATTTTCACTTGTAGCTTACTATATAATATCGTGCCGGGAGATGACTGGATTTCAGAATAAGTGGTCAAATAACAAAATCTGCTGCTGCTGCTGTTGTTGATGGTGGTGCTACTAACGTTGATTATTATGGCAGTTGAAAATGTCAGATCAGTTTGGTTACATTTCAATCAGTATTCTTGTTTCATTTCTTTTCACTTTTTTCTTCTCTTTTTAATTCCTGTCTAACGGTTAAACTACACGCTGGTATGAAGAAGGAGACAAAGTTTTAGCATTTATTTCTTGCCATTTTTTAATATTTATCGTCAAAAAGTTTAATTGAAGAGGTTTATGGTAAATAAAGAATCGAAAAAAAAGGAACTTCTGTGTTTTTTCTTGCAAGATTTCTTATTGCATTTATAATTGTATTTGAATGCTGCTGTTTGATTCTTGTAGTCTTTTTTCTTCTTGTTCTAAGGAATTGGCTGTTTCAAGGAAAATGGATTGTACTAGGAAAGAGGGATCTAATTAAACGGGGCACGAAACGATAGAGAGAAAGAGGGGAGATGGAGGAGAAAAGGGAAGGAAGTAGAGGAGTTTGGGAACAGGAAAGGTTTAAAATTTCCTTTATTTGGCCAATTCTCTGCTGTATCTAAAAATATCTAAAACATTTACTGATAAGCAGTCGCTTTAAAGCTTACATCCTTTTTTTTTTGCGCGAAAAAAATTTTTTTATGCAGTCATAATTGTGATTGACTTACGTTATTCAGTGTTTTTCGTTTTTGTTTTTTTCCGCTAACGTAATATTAGGAGGAAATTAAAGTGTAAAGGGAGGTTGAAGTAAACGAACAGTTGGGAACGGAGGGCAGAAGAGGAAGTTTATGAATGTCGTCTGCATGGTCGGATCTATGCTCTATCCAAAGCCATACAGTACGTCAAATTGTTAGTTGATTTTATTGTGGAAATATCAAAGTAAAAAATTGTTAAAACTTTGTTTTTTTTTTCTTTAAACAAAGAAAAAGTAAACAGAAGATAAAAGAAGGAAGAAAAAAGAAGGATGAAACAAGAAGAAAATGGAATTGAAAAAATGAAAGGAACATGAAGGAGGGGTGGTGGTGGAAATTGGTACGTAGAATAATTCCTTTTTTCTTTGCTTTTTGTCTGATAGTTGTTGGGTTGTTAGTATTTTGAAACAAATTGAGAAGAAACATAGAGCACGATTAATGCTTTGTTTCTGATGTCACGGAACATAAATTTATAGTTTCTTTTTTTTGTTTTTACTTTCTGATCGGTATTGTTTTATACCTTTTTGGCATCCGAAATCCACAGGCTGTTTTAAGATAGCTTAAAATTGCAGTTGTTTTTCTTGTTGCTGCCACTTTTTCCTCGTTGTCACCAAACCGCCTCTTAGGGACGTTGCCAAAATTTCGGAAATTTATTTAGACGTTTGTCGTCTGGTATGTGCAACCAAATCAACCTTATTCCAAATATCAGCAATAGGCAACAGTACACTGATACCATCCAAATTGCAATCAACAACATTTTATGAATTTTCTAACTCGATGAACAAACAATGATTTTTTTGACGATGATACAGGTTGAGGAGAGAGTGATGATATAAATGGAGGAAAAAACGTTTTTTTTTTTCTGAAAGAAGAGAGGTTAAAAAAAACTTTATAATTTGCCTATGATGGAGGAGAAGCGGAAAAGAAAGGAAGGGGAAACGGGCTGAAGAGATTTCTATTTATTTTATTAAATTTAACAGTTATTAAGTGTAATTAAAAAAGTTTCTGAAGTTTGTATATTTCTAAGCAATTTTTTTCTCATTTTTTTCTTTTTAAATTTATTTGTTCATTTACACATAACTGACGTCAATGTTTTATTCAAAGAAAGGTTTAAGTAATTGGGCGACAAGACAACGGATAGAAAGGCTATGTATTGTTGAACCTTATATAACATTTTGTTGACTTAAAACTTTGAAAGTATTTTTTTTTTTTTTTTTTT